CTGTTGATTAGATGAAAGTTGAAGTTTTTATTTTGTGAAATAAATAATTTTTTTTGGGGGGGGGGGGTAATTGTGATTATAATAAATAATTATGATTTATTATTATTTGTTTATTAATATTTTGTTTTATGTTTACATTTTTATTATTTTAATAATTTCAAAATTATTAGTATTATATTACATAACATTTTAACGTATACAGATTTATAATTTATAAGTAAAGATTCAGATTTGAAATCATTTAATAACATTAGTAATCATTAGTTGTCATTTGATTATTAATCCATTACCTTGAAGCAGTACTCCTAATGTTTGAAAATACAATAGTTAATTTTGATAAAAAATATTTATCAGTATTAAAGTTTAGTTTAAAGTTTAAATAAGTTTTTTTTTTAAAGTTTTTTATTATTGTCATTATTATTTGCTTAATATTATCTTGTATTATATACATTTGTTATTATTTCATATATTTCTTTATTATATTATTATATTAAAATAAAGTGATAATTTTAAAGAGTTGATGATTTTAAATAATTTAATTATTTTAAATAATTTAATAACCTCAACAACAATCATTATTTGTCAATTGATTCATATTAATCAATGAGCAATACTGATAATGTTTAAAATACAATAATTATTTTGTATATTAAAAATATATAAAATGTATATAAAATAATATATTTAATAAATAATAAAAAATATTAATGTAATTAGTAATGTAATAATAATGATTATTGATTGATTAACATTCATTTTTAAAGTTTTGTTCATTAAAAAAAATGCTTACATATATGTACATTTATAAAATGTGGTATAGAATGGGTTAAAAAAAATAAAATAAAACGGGTAGTAAACTTGTGATCCCAAAAAAGATGCATTTCTATTTGTTGACTGGCCTTTTTTCCTCTGGCTTGAAATCCTCAGGAGAAAGTAGGGCAGTGTTTTATTAAACAAGTGTGTCCCTCAAGACTCGGTTAAAGTCCACGCTGCTGGTGTTCAGTGCAGCCGAGTTTAAAACCATGTTGCCTTATATTTTTATATAGAACATTGTCAGGAGAATTTCACTGCAACATGAGAAAAAAAATATTCCACTGGCCCAGATAACGATGTGACTTTTAGGCCGCGAGTATAAGCCATATTCATTACATAGACACCATAGAGATAACCTGCTGGAAATTCCTTAAGATATAGATAAGGTCTTTATTTAAAAAGTCATCCCTTCATTGTTAACTTTTATTTTTTACATGCATTATGTTCTTGTAATGGGTTTGATATCCTGAGGTAAGATCATGCAACACATTCCAATCAGCAAGTGCCCATATTTTTGTGTTAAAAGCTAACCAATCTCTTCTGTCTTAGCTTGTCCTCCACTGTTTAACATTCTCTAATTCTTCCTTTGCAGAAACACACTGAGCCTAGTTTTCTCTCATCCGTCACGCCTGTCCTCCACGCTGCCATTATAGTGACAGTCAAATTGCACAGTGCTTAATAGTGACTTAATGAAGCTTTCGAAGCTCAGACCTGCTAATCGGCCCTTATTCCTCAACACAGACCGCTGGAGGTCCTGTCATCTGGAATAGAGAAAGAAAGTGACGTTAAACTCAGCTGTTTGTATTGTGGAACAGCTCACAGCAAGACCACAGGCCTGTTTCGATGAGGGGAAATTGAGCGAATATATTAACAGTGATGCCTTTTTAATTTCAAAAGCCTTCCACTGGATCTCTCGCTCTTTCTCTCTGAAGAGTCTGTCTGCGCTGCATCCTACGATATCATATCTCAGATGAGTACAAATGATTAATTTCCATAGTTACCACATACTGGAGCGTGCAGATTTTAGATTATGATAAGGCGATGCACATCACTTGGAGCATATTGTTTGTCTAGCATATGTTTATGCTTTTTTTTTAGCATGTGAACTGATAAACTGTGGAATATGCATGTGTAAAATGTATGATTCTAAACTAAATAATGGCCTATTATTAATGACAATTCTGGCTCGCAGAGCAATAAGCTAGAAGACCCAATTAGAGTAATGCTGTAGCTCGCTTAACAAGACCATTTCCTCTGGGAAAACCAGAGCCATTATCACGGTGTAATTGTCTTTTATTTTTAGTGAGGAAGAACTTTGTCCTGTAGGGTGGAACGGGACACATAACTGGTTCATTTGCATCTGTCATCTGTTTGGTCATGTCACGTCATTATTATGTTGTGATATGGCGGTGGGTGCAACTGTCTTGAATTATAATCAGATTAGAGATGGTTCATATCACATCACAGAACACAAAATAGAGATTTTTGGTTTCAGACGTAACCATGTCACAATCCACCTGCTGTTACACTTACACTACTGTTTAACGGGTTAAATAAGATTTTTTAATATATTTTTTGAAAGAAGTATCTTATGCTAGCCCAGGATGCATTTATTTGATCAGAAATCCAGAAAAAAATGCAGTAATGTTGTGAAATATTATTACAATTTAAAAATAACTGATTTCTATTTGAATATACAGTTGAAGTCAAAAGTTTACTTTCAGAATCTGCAAAAATATCTTCCCTTCTGAGGCTACAGAAGATAGTTACATGTTTCCCAGAAGACAAAATAAGCTTAATTTACCCTGATCTTCAAATTCAAAAAGTTTTCACCCCCCAGCTCTTAATGCATGGCTTTTCCTTCTGGAGCATCGGAGAGCGTTTGAACCTTCTGTAATAGTAGCATATGAGTCCCTCAGTTGTCCTCAGTGTGAAAAGATGGATCGCAAAAGCATACAGTCATTGTTGGAAAGGGTTCAAATACACAAAAATGCTGGAAAACCAAAGAATTTGTGGGACCTGAAGGATTTTTCTGAAGAACAGCAGGCAGTTTAACTGTTCAGAACAAACAAGGGACTCATGAACAACTATCACTAAACAAAAAAAAAACAGCTGTGGATCATTCAGGTAACAACACAGTATTAAGAATCAAGGGGATGTCAACTTTTAAACTATTATTTTCTCTTTAAACATCTTTTATGTGAAATATCTTATTCAGGTCAGTACTAAATAAACAATAACATGCATTTTGTCTATTTTGGTAAAATAATTAACATTTTGCAGATTATGTAAACTTTTGACCTCAACTGTATTTTAAATTCAAATTTATTCCTGTGATGCAAAGCTGAATTTTCAGCATCATTACTCTAGTCTTCAGTGTCGCATGAACTTTTTGAAATCATTCTAATATACTGATTTGATGCTCAAGAAACATTTCTAATTATTAATGTTGAAAACTTAAAAAAAGTCAAAAAAAAAAAAAAAAAGCTTTATTTAACTTTTGTGTTTTGTAACATTATAAAGGTATTTACTGTCCTTGCTGAATAAAAGTATTAATAAAAAAAAATAACCTGACCTCAAATATTGAACAGCAGTGAATTTAGTTGTACTATTTTTCTCTTTATTGGAGATTATCCGAGACCCAGACGAGACACTCAGGGCACGAATGCAGACCAAGCTGTCATGTTGAAAACTTAAAAAAAGTAAAAAAAAAAAAGCTTTATTTAACTTTATTGTTTTGTAACATTATAAAGCTATTTACTGTCCTTGCTGAATAAAAGTATTAATAAAAAAAAATAACCTGACCTCAAATATTGAACAGCAGTGAATTTAGTTGTACTATTTTTCTCTTTATTGGAGATTATCTGAGACCCAGACGAGACACTCAGGGCACGAATGCAGACCAAGCTGTCCATTTAAATCAGCTGGATTCAGTTCAAACACCGAACAGTGGCTATTCAGAGGAATATAATTCTCTAATGGTAAGGTTACTGTGTCGACTAGTAGTTGAGGTAACTCAACCTTTAGTATGATGGAAATATACCTTATATTGAGGCCATGTTTACATATTATGAGCTATCCATCATGTCTGCAAAAGAAACAGACTTAAACTGTATAACAATCTGATCTTCTTATAATTCGTGTAGTGTATGAGAGTCAGTAGGGTCAGTTTAAAATGTGGCCTCAGTGTTTATCATCCTTTAAGCTAATGTGCGGCTCATTATAGCCTTAAAGGGATAGTTCACCCAAAAATGAAAATTCTGTTATTAATTACTCTCCCTCATGTCGTTCCATACCTGAAAGACCTTTGTTCATCTTTAGAACACAAAGTAAGATATTTTTTATGAAATCCAAAAGCTTTCTGACCCTCCATAGACAGCAACGCAACTAACACGTTCAAGGCCCAGAAAGGTAGTGAGGGCATTGTTAAAATAGTCCATGCGACATAAGGGGTGGACTATTTTAACAATGTCCTTACTACCTTTCTCTTACATCTTACGGGTTTGGAACAACATGGGTGTGAGTAATTAATGACAGAATTTTCATTTGTTGGTGAACAATCCCTTTAATTCAATCAACCTTGACAAACAATGGCTGTTTGATCCTCACTGGTAGGCTAATTTTATTTCTGCCTTGCAGTCAGCACTCAATTTACACACCCCTCAATTTTGTTGACACAGAACAAAATGGATTCTGATGGATTATTGTGATGTTTTTATCAGCTGTTTGGACTCTCATTCTGGCGGTACCCATTCACTGCAGAGGATCTATTGGTGAGAAAGTGATGCAATGCTGAATTACTCCAAATCTCTAAAGTCACTTTGGATGGCTAGTGGGTGAGTAAAAATTCAGCAATTTTTAATTTTGGGGCAAACTATTCATTTAAACACACCACTCATAATTTCTCCAATTCTATTTGTGATCCAAACACTAACAACTGTTCTATAATGACATTTGTCACATCTTATAGTTGTGTACAGTGTTTCTCCACAGATGACTGTTGTTTTTTCGTGGGTTAACTGTTGCATCCATCAGCAGATCAAAGGGACGGGCTGTATTGCCACTTTCGGTTTGAGCAGCTGTAGCTGCAGACATTTCCATCTCAAAGGCTTACTCGATGCTCTCTTCCACTCCACACAAACGCACACAGGTGGAGAGTAAGGTGAGAGCCCAGTGCAAGACGCACAGCTTTGTATGATAATAGTGACCCACACACTCATAGCCCCTCTTACTCATCCTGCTGTTCAGAATACAGCACACGATGAATGACAAGCACAAAGAGTCTCTATTGTGTCTGTCTGTGTGTCGGGCATTTTCAGGGTGTGAGCGCACACTAGGTTTCTAGGTGATCTACCTTTATGTGAGTGATAGCTATGCTGGGGAAGCAGGAAGGCAATTTTTGGGATGCTGCTCTGGAAAAGAGTGTTGTGTAACTGGCCATAGCTTTTAGAAATCAGATCTTAAAACTACCGTTCAAAGGTTTGGGGTTGGTAAGATTTTTTAAATAATTATCTTGTGCACCAAGGCTGCATTTATTTAAACAAAAATACAGTAAAAGCAGTAATTTTGTGAAATATTATTACAAATTCAAATTGATATTTTCTATTGTAATATATTTTAAAATGAAATGTATTCCTGTGTTATAATCTATATCATCTATATAATTCATCTATTTTAATAAATGCTGTTCTTTTTAACTTTTTATTCATCAAAGAATCCTGAAAAAAGTATCACAGGTTCCAAAATAAAATAAAATAAATAAATAAATAAATATTAAGCAGCAACAGTTTCAACACTGATAAGAATTTAGCATATTAGAATGATTTCTGAAGGATCATGTGACACTGAAGACTGGAGTAATGATGCTGAAAATTCAGTGCTGCAAATTAATGATAAATTATACATTTATTCATTACAGAAATAATTCATATTTTAAAGAATATTAAAATAGGAAACCAATAGAAATTGCAATAATATTTCACAATATTATTTTTTTTCTGTATTTTTGAACAAATAAATGCAGCCTTGATGAGCATAAGAGACTCCATAAAAAAACATTAAAAATCTTACTGATCCCAAACTTTTAATGGCAGTGTATATTAAAAATATAACATAATTATATATATATATAGATAGATACATACATAGATGCAATTTAAAATGTCTAACCAATACTGATACCTATAACAGCCCAACCGCTTTAATTCACACTTGACCCATCAGTATTAATACACTCCATTAAGAAAGAATCCAATACAATTAAAACCCACTGCATTGATCCTCTCACCTACCAACCTGTTTTGAAATGCATTCGCATGCGAGTTTAGTGTATTTCATAAACAACCCAGAGCATATTTAAAGCCTCTATCAAGGGAACATCGTCAAAAGCCAGTGCCAAAGCACATCAAAAATGTGTTCCAGTTCAACTGATGAACATGAGGAATGTTTTTAGTAGGCCAAATGCAAAAAAAGAAAAAAAAAAAGTAGATCACCAACTTGATTTGTGGGTCAGACTTTTAAAAAGTGAAAACTAGAATTGAAGGACAGAAGTAGAATCACATGGAAGTAGTCCATCACGCCGCTAGTTCAACCTGATGCTAACCTGTTTTGCTGGATTTCTAAGGGTAAGTTGGAATCGGATGGCTTTTGCCACCAGTATCATTTTTCTGAAACACCATCTAAAACTCATTAGCATTTTTCTGGACTTTCTAAATTCAGTGAGACCACAGCATGCAATTACATATAATAGTGAATACAAAGCGAATGCAATAATTGAGAATGGCACACTGCTATTAATATTATGAAATAAAGTACACTCTTCACTTGACCCCAAGAAACAGCTCCTTCTGTTTTTGACAGTCAGCGACCTCATAAGCTCCTCCCCCATTCACTGTCAGCCTATAGAAAAAGAAAGAACATGTGCCTGCCTGTTTTTGACATACAGTAGTGATAAGCTATGATTGTAGGTGTAATTAAACTACTTGATGTGTAGGATTTTCACCAAATCTATCTATCTATCTATCTATCTATCTATCTATCTATCTATCTATCTATCTATCTATCTATCTATCTATCTATCTATCTATCTGTTTAGAGCTTCAGAACTCCATTACCCATCAGCTCTCACTCCTGATGCGCGTTCAGTTAGGGGGCGGAGCCTCAGGGCTCATGTGGAGGTGGTGAGAAGCGGACAAGTGCGGACAAAATCCAACTGGCAACTAGACGCCGCGATTTTCAATTGGGGACTTTCGCATATGATGGAATTAAACGAGAAATCCCGGCCGGAGCAGTTGTGCCGCTGACCACACCGCCAGTGTTTTATTCCCGACACGGTCTCCTTCTGAAGAAGGTAAAGTTCAGCTGAACTCTTGCTGTTACTGTACTGCGAGAGGAGACATCAGCGTCAGGCAGTGGATGTATGACTGATGCATCCATCAGTGAGAGCAGAACGGAAGTTTGACAGCGTGTTACAGTGTATCAATAAAGGCGTTCGATGCGCGTTTGGAGGTTGTCGCGGTAATATTGCAACATTTTTAGACTGTTTCCATATGTAACAGTGTCGAGTGCTGCTGGAGGAGGCAAGTGGACCGCACAAGATAGTGGATACAGTCATTATTCTACCGTCGGGTTTAGAGTATTAGTGTCTGGATTGGAGTTTGTGGAATAAAGCGGTTAGTTTGTTCAGTTCGAGGCTGGTGAATTCTGATTGGCTGTTTATTATCACCTGTCGAATTAAGCTTTTAGGTTTGATCTCAGCGTCAAGGTTGATGTCTCAGCTGTGTATGTC